TCTTTTAATTTTTAATGAGTAAAGTGCACCAATCAGAATTTGTCTGTTAAAGACAGGCACAGATTCTTTTATTCAAATCAATTTGGTCCCTTTTACCTTCCAAATTAAGGAATAAATATATTGTGTGAAACGCTCATAACATCACATTTCCACAGAAATGAGGGCAGGAGCTGACATCAGTCCTTCTTCTGAGGGAGAGCTGCCTTTACTAGTTCATATATGACATATGCAGTTCCTGAAAAGTGACATATAAATGATCAGCAATTAGAGTTTACCATGATTATTAACTCAAAAAAATATCACATCAATTAAACATCACATCAAATAATGCGGCTTGTACAAATAAGAATGTGCCATATATAGACATTGGGTGTGTGCACTAGTAGCAAGCGACTACCCAGCATGCACAGCACCCTTACAAACACACAATAACATGACCTAAGCAACCATGTACTGCAGCAATTACGCATAACACCCTGCAGTAACATACCTAGTACTGTGAGACCCATAGTTGCACGGTAAAGAACAGCGTCACCGACTCCTCCCTTCAGATGAACCGGAATCCCATTGGCCTCCTAAATATGAAACATAAATCAACATTTTGATAAGCACCTATAAAACATGATAAAACACAAACGTGTGTGTACAAAACAATAAGATCTGAGCACAATATGCACTGTTAGGCCTTTAGGGAGAACGCAAATTATTAGTAAAGATATTATGGGTCAAGAACATTAGTTTTTCCATTTAAGAGATGACAATATATTACAGAAAAGTGACAACCATACCTGAAAGAGTTTCTGTTTGTCCGGCACCTTGTTGACCAGCTGTCTGCGGACGGTGCTGGAGATCTGCCGTCTGGAAACCTGCTGCAGAGTCTCATGGAGAACACAGTTTGACAAAAATATTTAAAAGTACTGTAAAGAATAACCAAATATGACCATTTTAAAATAACCTTACATTTTTTGATAACAAATATTCAGAATATACAGATTTTAACAGTGACGTAAACCATGAATATGTTTTAAATAATTTTGAAAATGTGCGTTTCAGTAGTTTAAGGCATTAATCATTTGGTCTAATTACATTATACCATTCCACTCCACCATTCAAAAGATTGGGGTCAGTATTAGTTATTATTATTTTATTAGTCTCTTCTGCTCACCCAGGCTGAATTTATTTGATTAAAAATACAGTAAAACAGTAATATTGTGAAATATTATTACAATTTAAAACAAACTGTTTTAATTTATTTTACAGTGCATGTCACAATGACAACAAAAACTGAAGACTACAGTCAATCAAACAGATAACATGAAGTGAATCACAGATCAAATACCATAATCATATGTTTTTCCCTTCCACAGAGACCTTTATCTTCATTTAATACCACTTTTCATGTATGTTCACATAACCCAGAAAATGCCTGAATGTCATTCATTAGATCAAGTGTTTGTATCCGAGGACTTTTTCTCCTCACTAGCTTTCACTTTTCTCATTTTTGCTCAATGATTTCGAAATCAGCTCGTCAGCTGTATCAAGTTCACTCAGGCGGAGGACTTTCAGACATTATAAGGGTGACCAAATTTCAGAAACTCCGAAGTTCGCTGTGTTTACACAGAAAGGGGAAATATAAATCATATAGGACATTACATTACAATTAGCATCCCTTAAATGAACACAAACCCCAGCAGAAAAAAAAACAGCAGAAAAGCTGCTATCTGGCCTATTTAAATCATTTAAATATATTATCGTCATGATTTCATTGATTGTAGACGTGCAACACCTCGACCTTCTCATGACTCCCGCGCTTGACTTCCCCCGCCTCAGACTCCTCGCTTTATAACCGTGACATCTGATGTGAAACCAAAGCGAACGCGTGATGAATGATTTATAAAGAAGCACCATGCATTATCACTCTTAAACTGAAACGGAATAGTTTTAATAATTACCAGAAAGTGTCGAAACATTTTCAGCGTGAGTGACTGAAGTCACGAAACCAGTGTTGCCAACTAATTTTCAGGGGAAGTTGCTAAAGGCAGATCGATTTGTTGCTAAAAGTTGCTAAATGACGTTGTGATGTCATTGCGTGATGACGTCATTGTAGACGTGCAACACCTTCTCATGACTCCCGCGCTTGACTTCCCCCGCCTCAGACTCCTCGCTTTATAACCGTGACATCTGATGTGAAACCAAAGCGAACGCGTGATGAATGATTTATAAAGAAGCACCATGCATTATCACTCTTAAACTGAAACGGAATAGTTTTAATAATTACCAGAAAGTGTCGAAACATTTTCAGCGTGAGTGACTGAAGTCACGAAACCAGTGTTGCCAACTAATTTTCAGGGGAAGTTGCTAAAGGCAGATCGATTTGTTGCTAAAAGTTGCTAAATGACGTTGTGATGTCATTGCGTGATGACGTCATTGCATAACCACGACACAAAACAGCGTTTTTACGTAGAATACACAAGATTACTCAAATCTCAGCGAAAAAATATTTTTTTAAATGTTATTTGTTCATAAAAATATTATAAATAACATTTAATACTTTAATTTGTAAAAGTAACATAAGTAGCACATCTTTATGATCGGATTTTTTACATTGAATTATTGAACAGTTAAACATTTGATGTATTTTCTTATTAACTAGTAGAACTGCACATTCTTAACCATTATAGTTTTAAGCAGTGTACTGGTAGTTAGTTAGTGTGCTACACAAAAGTCTGTAAAAATAGGACACAATATACTGTTTATATGAAGGAACAATCCGTATTTATTTTTCACAGGTGTTTTAAATTCCACATTGCATTTTGTGTTTTAAGGTTACAGGGTTACAACTTAATGTTTATATGAAGGGACAATACTTTATATATTTTTTTTACAGGTGTTTTACATTCCACATTGCATTTTGTGTTTTAAGGTTACAGGGTTACAACTTAATGGATAACATCCTGGCAGAAAATGACTAGTACCTTTTCAGTTTTTCCACATATTTTTTCTTACAGTGTACCTAACTGAACAACAATTATATATACAAGCTAATAACATGCTGTATCATAAATGTGCATTTATTATTGACCAATTGGAACTAGCAACTTAATGCACATTTGATTTTTGTACTGCTACGCATCTTTTTCCAGCTCTCTCCTTGTTGATGTGCTGCTTGGCTGGCTAGCTGTTCAATGGTTTCCTCTTTTTGTGTAATTTAGTTGAAAATATGTGCCTTTTTTATCATTTGAGTCACTTTACAAAAGTTGCTAAAAGTTGCCAAATACTTTTTAAAAATAGCTAAATTTGTTGCTAGGTGCTTTTTGAAAAAAAAGATGCTAGGCTAGTCTGAAAAGTTGCTAAATCTAGCAACAAAATTGCTAAGTTGGCAACATTGCACGAAACAGGAAAAAAAAGGTCACGAAGCAGCGTCGAGGGAAACGCCTCCGCCTGCTGTTCAGGAGAGCAACTGCACTGATGTTTCATCCGGGTCAGACACCGATCAAATACAAGACACTGTCCTAGAAACGTTTCTTCACTGACACATGATGAAAAATAAAAATCATAATGCAAGAGGGAAATGAGCAAATCGAGACACACTGAGCACAACACAAGCATGCCATTTTGCATACTGTCTAATGAATGAATAAATGCATGAATTAATGCTTTATTCATTAAAGGGATAGTTCACCCAAAAATGACAATTCTGTCATTAATTACTCACCCTCGTGTTGTTCCAAACCCGTAAGACCTTCGTTCATCTTCGGAACACAATTGAAGATATTTTTGATGAAATCTGAGGGCTCTCTGACCCTCCCATAGACAGCAAGGTAACTACCACGTTCAAGGTCTAGAAAAGTACCAAGATGATCGACAGAGTAGTCAGTGTGACATCAGTGGTTCAACTGTAAAGTTACGAAGCTACGAGACTGCGTCACTTGATGACGCGCGTTCACCACAGTATCATGATGCGAGAGTGTGGCGGCGCCGGCGCTGAGCCAGATCCGGCGTGATGACGTCATTACGCCGGATCTGGGTCAGCGCCGCCCCACGCTAGCGTCATGATAGCTGCACAAAAAAATATCTTAAATTGTGTTCCGAAGATGAACGAAGGTCTTACGGGTTTCGAACAACACGAGTGCGAGTAATTAATGACAGAATTTTCATTTGTTGGGTGAACTAACCCTTTAAGACATTTTCTGCCATCTACAGGCAGTTTTAGTCTCACATTTAGAGTATCATTTCATAAAAAAAATAATTTCATATTTACATATTAATAAAACATTTGAAATGGAAAAAAATCCATATTAATAAAAAAAATTCTAATTAAAGGGATAGTTCACACACACAAAAAAAGAAAAATGAAAAAAAAAAGCTTCTTTTTGTAATATCTATTACATGCTTTTCTCATGTTACACAGTAATGACTTTAAATTAGCTTTTGTGGGTAACTTCTCAGCTAAATTTGATGAGCAATTAATATACTATTGATTAGATTAGCTTGATTAGCCTACATTAAGTTAAACATTTGAATCGATTGACAGCCCTAATTGAAATACCACTTTGTACTAACATGATTGTCCTACATACCCATGCAAATCTGAATTTGTCCCTAAACCTTAAAAGTTTGTGGTGCAGATTATAACGCATCCAGTGGACCATAAAGTTGCGTGCTTCATAAATGTGTTTATTGGGTGAATTTCTCATTTCATATGCAGACACACACTTCAGTTCAGTGAGCTCATACTGCATTCACAGAGGTCATACGCTATAAATGAAATTAAATACAGGTGTTGATTATAAGGACTTTGTGGATCGCAGTTCTTAGACTTAATTAAATATAGAGTATCATGCACCTTTTCCCCAACTGACCCTCTCTCATTCTTTTAACACATCAATGAGATTGATAAATGATCAATAAACTGCTCCCAGCGGTATATGACACTTTAACCAGTCATTTTCAAAACAAACAATATATGATTTAACGTTAGATCAGTGCCTAAAGTCAACATGAACCTGCTTACATAGTCCAATTTATGCATAATGCAGTACATTTCCGGGTGAAACAGAATATTTAACGAGATTTGGTGTTCCCGGTCAAAAATGACCGGATTTGAAAAAACGAAAAATGCTTGTAAATCTCTTATTATGCTATATTTTTACCAGATCTTGGATTCAGTCTTTTTGTCAGCTTGTTTGCTTTCAATGTGCACAGGTTTTGTATTTCTTTTTGAAACTGAATCGATCATATGTCTCATAGATTTGAGCTGAAGCACCAGTTTTTTGAGTGAAAGAAGCATCATTTGTGGATAATTTTGGCAATGTTCACTCAGAAACTGAAGTGCATGAGCTCAGATCAATGCTCACGATCAATCCGTTCCAAAAAAGAAACACAAAACCTGTGCTAAATGAAAGAAAACATGTTGATGAAAAGATCGAATCCAAGTGCAAAAATGATCCAGTTTATTTGGAAAGTTGCTGTACCCTGTGTGAGTAAAGTCAGTAGGTTGTAGTCTAACGCCATAACATTAACAAGCATTTTTGGGAAAAATAAAAACCTCTCTGAACACAACATGGAAGTAAAAGGGGTCAGTTTTGATTGCATGTTGACTTTTCCATGTTTTACTGAAGCATTTATTCTCAAAATACATGTAAAAAAAATAAAAAAAAACATATCGGTTTCTCTTCTTCTTGCATGCCGCAACTTTCCATGTTCTGTACAACTTTGATCTCTTTCTTTACATTCTGGCATCCAGAGTTCAGCAATCTGCCGTCTTACTGATTGTCTTGTGGTCTTGAATTGATGATATAGTCTGTATGCATGCAGATATGGAGCAACACTACAGATCCTTGTGCTTGAACCAGCTTTGACATATTCGACCCTCGTTCTATTGTTGCGTTTGGATGCAGAGCAAATGTAGAGACCTTTCTGTCAGGCATATTATGGATCTGAAACAGCCTCAGCGTGGCTCTCGATTCACATGGAGCACAACATTCTCTGTGGATGAAAACAGGGAAAGTGAGCTTACTGTGAAACACTACAATCCCCTGAAACCCACGGCTTAACTACTGCATGGAAAGAATCAGTTTCACATATTCATGTTAAGCGCTTTTGAGCGTCCAAGTTCATGGATGGTGAAAATATCAGAGCAATTTTACAATCGTTTTCTGGGAATCGCAGCGCGCCGTTGAATCCAGCGAGCTGCCAAAGCCTGTTATTGCGCATGGATGGATTAGAAAATGAACACTGTCAGTTTGTCAGCTGCTGTGACAATGGAAATAATTGATTCAAAAAGCCCTTGATAGTGGCACACAAAACAGCAGCTTGTTCTCATGAGAAAGACAAAAGCTTTCAAGTTCATCTAACAATAAAAACTTTGCCATTGTTTACTCACCCTAGTGTCGTTCCAAACTCATCTGTTGCTAATGTCGTTTAAATGAATTGAAAGCATATTTGAACGCGATTTGAGAGCTTTTTTGGAGCTCGACAGAACCAGGCCTCATATGAAAAAGATAATTCTGGACCTTCTGCAAAGCATCACGGAGGAATGAAAGTCACACGACATGAGGGTGAGTGAATGATGACATAATTTTCGTTTTTGGGCAAACTGTTCCTTTAATGCTAAACAGATAAATTAAAAGCCCTGTCTTTATTTGTGTAATTGCCGAGTTTGTATCAGGCAGAAGGACACAATCAGGATCTTAAACGGGACTCCAGATCTCCAGCTGTTGTTTCTTATTTCTCCTAACAGCGTTCTCTGGCTCCCAGATGGCCTACATATCGGTTTCTCTTCTTCTTGCATGCCGCAACTTTCCATGTTCTGTACAACTTTGATCTCTTTCTTTACATTCTGGCATCCAGAGTTCAGCAATCTGCCGTCTTACTGATTGTCTTGTGGTCTTGAATTGATGATATAGTCTGTATGCATGCAGATATGGAGCAACACTACAGATCCTTGTGCTTGAACCAGCTTTGACATATTCGACCCTCGTTCTATTGTTGCGTTTGGATGCAGAGCAAATGTAGAGACCTTTCTGTCAGGCATATTATGGATCTGAAACA